TGGTGGCGCACTGCTACAGTGCGCCGCTTGGGAGCGTGGTGGCGCTCCCGCCGAGGGTTTGTATCCCACATATAGACCGGCCGCTCACTGGCTGAGTGAGGTGCAGGCGCAACACCGAGGGTTGCGATCCCGTTGCCGGTCCCGGTCTGGTACGGGCGCGACACTGAGGGTTGCAATCCGTTGCCGGTCACGAAAAAAGACAAAACAAAAAAAGACAAAAAGGAAAAAAAAATCTACTTTCTAAGTAGAGTGGTAAGAACTGAAGGAAACAATACCATTTGGTGATTCAACATTATTTATATTTGCTTGGTATATTTATATCAACTATCATTTTTTAACTAATGGTTTAGGCAGAAAAAAATGATCACTTTTAATTCAGAAATGAACACAATACAAGTAACATCGAATAAAATATATGGATTTAAATATTTGTACATCCCGCAAATGTTACACAAGTCGTGTTGGTAATTATGCATTGTCTTTTCATGGTGGCTACATTTAATATGTGAAGTACTTGTTGGAAGATTGTTGCCGGAAGCTTCTGGCTCCCTGGGATACTTTCATCAGGGATGACTAGCTTTGGCTTGTCTTTTTATGTTACTTGGTTTTGTGATGGCTTCTGACCTATCACTATTTCACAGAATAATTGCAGGCTCACTTCTTTGTCTGTTATGTAATTTTTTTCGTCTTTGTTGCTGGCTGACTTTTATGCTTTCTCTCATGTCCTTTTCATGGTTAGATTAACTTATCAACTGGGTCTTATATCCAGAAGGTACTTTGATTTCTTTGAATGAACAAATATATGTTGGGGTAATTTATTAAGTGATATAACCACCTACTTGATCACATGTGTCCAGTCTGTTCCCTGGGTCAGTACTCACTTGTGCATGTAGAACATTCAGTATTCCACAGGAGACACATTTGTATTGGGCCCCAGCCCAATCACCATCCCAAGCCTCGTTAAGGAATCAAATATATGTGTAGCAGTCTTTAATGCTTTATTTACTCCAGGACTTGCAAGCTGGCACCAAGGTAGAAATACTTACATCTTTGAAAGCTGAACTTCATCCTTAGGGCAGGGTGTTTAGGTCACTTTCATTGGCCATGATATGGCAGTCTAATATTAAATATTGCTTTCCACCCTCAATAAGAGTCAGTAGCTAGCATATATTTAAGGAGTGGCTTTGCCACCAACTTAATGAATGAAAAGGTTCACTGCCTCTTTTCATGTTATGTAATTAACTGACCACCGTCATTTTCAATTATCTTCATAGATACCAATGTTATACCAATGATTTTGTGCAGTTTTTCATATGGTTAATAATTAAATCCGTTACTAAACTCCTTTTAGATTTAAGATTATAATAAACAGAAGAGTATATTATTGAAACATGTTTAATTAATTATGAATATATAACCAGCTTTTAGGGATTGCCAATAAAAAATACCAGGCTACCAGTCGGTAGAAATTTGAAAAAAAAAAAAAAAAAAAAAACAACTTTAAGGTTCCCATTATTAAACACAATGCTAAGCATTAATATGTAAACACATAAATTAATATACAATAATTACCAACGTGAATTGTATATTTAAATCTATGTACTTTATTGGATGTTATTTTGCATAAGCGTCTTGTAAAAAGTTTAAATTAG